AAGGAAGAAAGTGAGAGGGAGTGATAGGTATGTTTACTATTGTGACTGTGGGAGGCTATATACCTCCACCTATATCAATTGTATACTTTTAATATGTATGTTTTATTGTATAGCAATTGTTTCTCAATAAAGTTGTTTCTAAAAGTACACATGCACCCCCCATGCACATATACACAGATTCCATGCCCTCAATTACTTCTAGGGACTCACCATTCCACAGAAGGTCCAGACACTTCTCCTATATGTTTTTATATTAAGCCATAGTTAATATTAAATCCCTCAAGCCCGTGTTTTATAYAAGTTGAATAGATATCTTCCTATTTACATATCTGGTTAAATGTATGTCCCTATAATTGACATTTCTTCCCTTTATAGCAAATATATCTGCCATTCATCTAGATTTCCCAGATGTGTTGCTCTTAGCACCAGAAAATGAAAAAGAAATCAGTAAACACAACCAAAAGCCAAACCAAAAACCAAAATTAATTTCACTATATAAAGTTGATGTTAAAAACAAAAACAGGTTCTCCAGTAATGAGGGAAGTTTGAAAAGCTTTTTCAGGTACCAAACATCTAAATCTAATAATTAACATGCTAAAAGTAGCCTATATGATAATAGTAATAGAAAAGAGAAAGCAAAACTGAAGTTCATGGACACTCCAGCTCTAAGCCATGGTGAGCTAGCTGAGGGAATCCAGATTTAATTTCTGGTTAGCCATTAACTACTCAACCTTATTTAGATTTGAGTTTTCTGGGCCTCAGCGAATCTCTAAAATGAGTACAAGAGTCAATGTAACTTACTCTGTGACTACAATGAAAAGCATAGCCTTTACTCTAAATTCTATTACTGTTAGGTCTATGGCATTTCCACTTTCTAGAGTTACTGGGGTTTTTAGGAATGCAATTAGGTAGTCCTAAACTTATTTTAAGATACTACCAAAATTTTTAATCAAGTGTCTTAGACCACTTGACATGAAGACCATCACCAAGATACAGTGGCCAGTCCATTTGAACACTGAGATATGTAACCAGTATTGTTCTACTGGACTCCATGAGACAAAGTACTTTATCTTTCTGTCCCTGAAACTTAGCAATGCCAGATCAAGCTTACATAATTATCACAATGCTAAAGATTTCCACTAGGAAAAAAATTCTACTTTAAAAATAGCATTATTATTAGGGCTGGGGATATGATTTAGGGGTAGGATGTTTGCCTGGAATGTTTGGGGAGCTAGGTTCAATCACAAACACTGTAAAACAACAACAGCAACAAAACATTATTATTTCAAATATTATACCTGTAACACATTTTACTATCTTCAAAGACATTCACGTTTATTAGACCCCCAGTGTGGAAAGCCAAGAAAACAGGAAAAGAATGAAAGCTCAAGACAAGCTTTTTTTTTTTCCTTTCAAAATTTAACTCTTTACTAAATAGCCCACATAATTAGCAATATGCTGCTGAGTTTTTTTCAAACTTTAGTTAAAATAATGCAAGCAAGATTTAAAGTGCAAACCATTAAGAACAAGTAAGAGTTTTCTTCCACTAAACTTAACTCTTAGCAATCACTGTATAACTTTGGTCTTCCCTTCCCCTCTGTAGTAAGAACTGTAGTTTCCTGAAAATGGCAATGAAACTTTGTTGACATGTTACATTAGTAAAAGTCACAAAATCTCAAGTCTACTTAAGCCTTTGAACAAAATAAAATTTATGCTTCTGATGCCTATAATAAGAAGCAACACAGGCTTTGAATCCTGTTAGATTCGAGACTCTTTTTCTCCTACACATCTAGTCCTATGTTCTAACATTTTTTTTTGGATTTTATCCACTGGCTGAGAATGATGATGAAATTAAGGGACCAGCAAACTAGAGAATAAATTATATTTGATAATATTACATAAAAAACACAAGTTTAACAATGACTCAGTTTTACTTTGCTTAGAATGAAGAAGCATACAATCTAGTCTTTTCATTATAGAAGTTTGTAAAGGCCTAGGAACCAAAGAAAATATTTGTAGAATAAGATCATCTACTATCAAAATTAAAATCAAATCAAATTTTTAAAATTAAGTTTATCCTGCATTCAAAAGAACAGTTGGTAAAGAGACCTTGAACAGAAAGTGGCAGGAAAGTGGCTCACAACAATTACAGCATTTAAAAGAATTTTTTTTTGTAAATTGTAGATAGACGGCATGTCTTTATTTATTTTTATGTGGTGCTGAGGATTGAACCCAGTGCCTCACACGTGYAAGGCAAGCACTCTGCCACTRAGCTACATCCCCAGCCCAGTTACAGAATTCTTTATAAAGCATAAGGAATGTTTTACCCTCTTTTGCTTTTGGCTGATATATATTAATATTCTTTTCAAGGCAGAGAAGTTTAAGCTTATCTAATATTCACAAGGACATAAAGCTTATATTTTGGTTAATTTATTATTATAGATCATATTGGGGGTAAATTAGGATGACCTAAGTTTTCAGAATGTGGCTAACCATGGCTGGCCTTGGAGTTTATCAAAACTGTGGCCTTGGGGCTGGGGCTGGGGCTGGGGCTGGGGCTGAGTGGTAGAGTACCTGCCCTGTAGGTGTGAGGCCCTGGGTTTGATCCTCAGCACCACATAAAAATAAAGATACTGTGTCCATCTACAACTAAAAGAGTATTTTTTAAAAATGTGGCCTCCATTTTAAATCTCATTTGACACTCTCTATTCAAAAGAATTCTCTATAACAAGAACAATAATTTTGGACTAGTCACATGGCCAGGGGGAGGGGGGTTGCTATATAGAATGCTTACTTTGTTGAAAGTAAGTTTACATGTGATACACAATTTGCAAACAGCACAGTCTATAATTTTGATTAGTTGTAATAGTGACACTAAAATGGTTTTCTGAAGTATTTAAAACCTCAGAATCTCTCTACTTATCTACTATCTTTTCTGATTAGATCATCTGATTTCTCAAAAATTCCAACAAAAAATACTGACACACAAGACAATGTTAGTTTCTGAAATTTTTATTTTAATACATACATTTCACAAACAGAAACCCTCTAACACCACACACAATTCCATAACCAAATGTTTCAATTTTATTAACATTCTTCAACTATTTACACTGTCTTCCCTCAACAAAAGTGCAATCCAAAATATCTTGACAAGAGATCTTTACCAACAATATGTTTTGAGCTGGTTTTGATGGTGCCCACCTGTTTTATTTTCTTCCAATTATCTGGAATAATAATAAAGTAAACAGGACATGGAGATGAAATGGCTTAGGCAGCATCTTATTGGAACCAAAACACTAAACAAGGGCACTTTCTCCTCATATCTATCCCCAACCTCCAACTAAAACTGCTCAACWGGTGTTACCATGAAACTAAATAGAAAAAGCAAACTGGGGTTACCAACCTGGGCTGGGCTTAGAACGACTGAACATTGGTCTTGCAGGACTAAATGAAAATTTTCAGCAAGTTAATTCTTGTAGTCTAATAAGCTATGCATGGATCTGTTAGTTTTAGTGTTTAAACACCTAACAATATTTTTTCTTGATGAATTAATTTTCCCCAGATATAAAAATTCATTTTATTCAGAAAATTAACTTCTTTTACAAAAACCASATATTAAAAGGTGCATGAGGATGTTCCTGTGTAATTAGAATGGGAAAACATACCCATATCTCAATTTCAYAGCACAATGGTTATCTTTTATTAGGTAAAAGCCCAGTATAATTAACTGCTTCAGATGTAACCAGAAGAAAGTACAGAGCTAAGATGGTCTGAAGAGAAAATGATCAATGAGAAATTGTCTTCTCTCTAAACTAAAGCAGATAATTTGTTCAAGGTATGGAACTCTTAAAAATAAGTGACAAAAATGTCAGATAAAAGATCACTTTGAAATTATTAGTCATTCTTAAGACTGCCTTTATGTTATTGAATACTACTCATCAGAAAGACAGAAACTGGATCTCCTTGTGACTGATATCCTTTAATGTCCTACCTACAACAAAAATAATCTTTCTTGACATATCCCAATTGCCATCAAGGTACTCAGGGAAAGCTTGGAGAAAACATTAAGGTCAGCAGATCCCAAAATGATATTTATCATTATGGTGTTGCATACTCAACTGTATTTTCTTCTCAAATTGGCCCAATTTTCCCTTTTAGACAAAAATGTAATGTTGAAAAGGCAAAAGATATTCAGTTTCTCTTTGTATATGACTGAATATATCCACAGAATCCTGACTTAACCACCAAAATAACATCCAAAAAATTTTTTTACTTAATTATAGTGAAACCTCATCATACTTACTTTTCAGRGTATAGAAAACAATCTAAGGAGAAAACAGTGAATGTAGCATTCACTACACCCACAATGGTTTGAAACTGAAGAGTTTGCTGATGCAGTATATAGGTCAACTTTTACAATAACAACATAATAAACAGGTTTCACTAGAAAAATGTAGGTGAGTTAAAGAATTGCATTATAAATATTTTAACATTTATTCTAAATTCAGATAKCAAATCCAAATGGTTCTCTGAARACAAGAGAAACTTACCAATTTTTATACTTGGTGCATAAGAGAACCAATAGGGAAATAGTTAATTCACAATTACAGCTTTGTGTATCAAAGAGAAACTTTCAAGGCTATGTCCTATGGACCTCTTGAAACTGCATCAAACACTGTCTGACCAATATTGATTTTCTGCTTCTCGTAAGCATTTTGAGCATTTCCTTCC